TCCTGCCTCCTCACCTCCTCTCCTACCTTCTTGTCTCTCTCCTGCATCCTTCCTCCTTGTCTCCCTGTCTCCTGCCCCTCACTGCCTCCTTGTCTCCTCCCTCCTACCTTCTTGTCTCCTCTCCTGCATCCTTCCTCCTTGTCTCCTCTCCTGCCTCCTCATTCCTCTCCTACCTTCTTCTCTCCTTTCCTGCATCCTCCTCCTTGCTCCCTGTCTCCTTGCCTTCTCACTGCTCCTTGTCTCCTCCCCTCCTACCTTCTTGTCTCCTCTCCTGCATCCTTCCTCCTTGTCTCCTCTCCTGCCTCCTCATCTCCTCTCCTACCTTCTTGTCTCCTCTCCTGCATCCTTCCTCCTTGTCTCCTGTCTCCTGCCCCTCACTGCCTCCTCTCCTCCTCCTACTTCTTGTCTCCTCTCCTGCATCCTTCCTCCTTGTCTCCTCTCCTGCTCCTCATCTCCTCTCCTACCTTCTTCTCTCCTTCTGCATCCTCCTCCTTGTCTCCTGTCTCCTTGCCTCTCACTGCCTCCTTGTCCCCTCCCCCTTCTCCTCTCCTACCTTCTTCCTCTCTCCTGCATCTTCCTCCTTGTCTCCTCTCTGTCTCCTTGTCTCCTCTGCCTTTGTCTCCTGCATTCTTCCTCCTTGTCTCCCTGTCTCCTTCTTGCCCCCTCTCCTGCCTCCTTGTCTCCTTGTCTCCTCTCCTACCTGGATACTGAACACATAACTGCTGATCGTCTAATAAACACAGAGGTCGGGGAACTTCATCTCACAGAGCGGCGTGGAGCGCGGCTGCAAGTGACCGGATGGATGATCAGATCGAAGACCTCGGACTGAAGCAGCAATGTCTGCAGACACACAAACTTTATTAACAAACACAGACGCAGACAAACATTCAGTCAGAGGTCAGAGGTCAGAGATTAGACTCACCCGGGCGCCACAGTGAGCGGCGATCTCCTCAAACGGAGCCGTCTGAAACTTCTCCTCCTGCGCTCCTCCTCCTCCACGCTCCCCCGATCCTCTGCACAAACAAGTTCACAAGTCAGAGACTCGATCGACTTCAACCGGCCGAGCTCGCACGTCGATAAACATTCGGTTACATTTCAAACTCACTAAATGAACATTTTCATGAGTCTCAAAACTGGATTCTATTTGATTCAGCTCTAAGATCATCTTCATGTTTTTAGGATCTTTGATTTTCAACACGTTTCTCTTCATCCAGTCGAGCTGACGTCAAACATCCAAACATTTTCATTTTCATGATAACGAGTAATTTCTGTTTTCTTTCTCGACTTCTTTCCGTCGTAACCTCGAGATAACCTCCAGGTTTACCCGTGAAAACTACTTCATGTGGAGAAAACAGCTGATTTTAAGTCTTTATCACAAGAACACAGCATGTCCTCTCAAGGCTTCTGTACTCAACTACCAAAATAACAACAAACAATAAAAGACAATATGAGCATCACCAATCGTGTTCTTCAGCATCTCAGAGGTGATCTGCTCCGTCTCAGACCTCTGCAGGTGAGACAGAGACAGGTGTCACCAGAAGAGACACACACACACACACACACACACACACACACACACACACACACACACACACACACACACACACACACATGATTTGATGAGCAAATAGATATAAGCATCATAAGTATTTGTATGGTGGCTCAAGAGTGCCATTAGTCAGATTTAAAGAGTACTTGCGATCATTTCATTTACCTCATGGTCGTTTTTCTGATACTCTAAATGAGAGCTGAGATGTGTTTTGTTTGCTTTGATTTACTAAGAAGTAAATACGTTGATATCTCTCAATAAATACTTTAAAATGCATATTCACCTCTTGGTCAGTTTAATAAATAAGAATATTTAAAAACTGAACATTTACAGTGTTTAAAGGTAAAACATGTCATCACACTAGAGTCATTTAAATCATTTTGTTTACGAGGAAGCAAGGTAAGGCAGGTTTAAATACAGGACATATAAAGTTAAAGGAGCAATAATAGTAATAAGATTAACGTGAGTTCTAAGAGAAGAAGCCAGGACGCTGTATCTCCGACGAGTTGATACATGAGAAGCGCTACAAATGAAGTGGGTGGACTTACTCTGTGAGCTCGTCCATCATCCTCTGCTGGTCTTGGATCTGGTCTCTGAGGCGGCTGAGCTGCTTGTGGTGGTTCTCCAGCTGCTCCTCCAGAGTTTTGTGGAGATGTAGAAACGGATTACAGACAATACAAAGCGTGTTTGTGTCCTCACCTTGATGTCCTCGTCTCCATCATGCCTCCTTGTCATTGGCCTGAATGTTTAAGTGGACGTTGGCCTGCATGCTCCACCTCCGAGCCGTTCCCCTCTGACTCTGAGGACTGAGCATGAGGGGGAAGTTAAAGACATTGAGCATTGTGTGTGTCCGTTCTCACAGCTGTGTTGACATCACTGGTGCCGATGATGGCGCCGATGTCACTGAGGTCTCATAGCAGCAGGTTGAGGACTTGGTAGCTCTCTTTCTCTGCAGACTGTTCAGCTCAGACACACACACACACACACACACACACGTAAAACAGTCTGTATGTTTCTGCAGACCTCGAGATGCAGACTTTAAACACTTTCTCCAAAAACATATCTGTACCGTCTTGTGCTGCTGCAGGTTGGTCTGATCTCTCTCCTGAAAAGTATTGAAAGTATTTGTATTGAGTTTGAATCTTGAAGCAGGTTGTCTTCAAACTGTGCTTCTCATGTTGTGTCTTCTGTTTGAGTTTAGTCTCACCTTGTCATCCAGCTGTTGTTCAGGTAGCTGATGTCCTCCTCGTATTTGCTCCGCTCGTCACCGGCGACCGAGCCCTCCTCCAGCCTGGCGGCAGGTTATGGATGATGGGAGTGTTGTGATTTGACCTCGATGCTCTTCTGATCTTTGGAACCTCAGCTGCTCCTCCTCAGGAACGTCCTCTCTGAAACACAGAACAACACTGAGCTACTTTCACAATACACAATACATCAAAATTCTACTTCATT